CTTTTCAGGACCACGTGGAAGAGGAGGAAAAACTCTTCCACCCCTTTCTTCTCATATAGCACAGAGTAGTTTGATGGTGACAAAAGAGAGGAATCAGCCTGGGCACAGTGGCTCACTCCTGCAATCCCAGCACTTTGGGAGGCCGAGGTGGGTGGATCACTTGAGTTCAGGAGTTGGAGACCAGCCTGGGCAACATGGTGAAAACCTGTATCTACTAAAAATACAATAATTACCCAGACATGGTGGTGCATCCCTATGGTCCCAGTTACTCGGGAGGCTGAGGCACGAGAATCACTTGAACCGGGGAGGTGGAGATTGCAGTGAGCCAAGATCACACCACTGTACTCCAGCCTGGGTGACAGAGCAAGATTCTGTCTTGGAAAAAAAAAGAGAGAGAGAGGGATCCCTTTCTACTATTGCGCTTTCATCACTCTAATTGTTGCTATTGTTATTCATCTCCCAAGAGTATATGGGAAATCTACTTCTCACTCAGTCCATCCTCTTGTACCTGCAGGGAGACTCTCCAATGTTGCTCACTGTTTTGAATTAGCACATTTCTTTGCAGTCCCCCGTATCCACTAGGATACATTCCAAGGCCCCAGTGGATGCCGGAAACCGTGCATAGTACCATACCCTATATGTGCACCAATTACTTTTTTCTTCTTAACAATTTCACAAATAGAACATTTGTTCTTACCATAGATCTTCACAACCTTAGTAGAGAATTTTTTCTTTTTTTTTTCTTTTTTTTATTTTTTGGAGACAGAGTCTCATTCTGTCTCTCAGGCTGGAGTACAGTGGCGTGATATCAGCTCACTGCAACCTCTGTCTCCTGGGTTTGAGTGATTCTCCTGCCTAAGCCTCCCAAGTAGCTGGGACTACAGGTGCCTGCCACCACTCCTGGCTAATTTTTGTATTTTTAGTAGAGATGGCGTTTCACCATATTGGTCAGGCTGGTGTTGAACTCCTGACCTTGTGATCCACCTGCCTTGGCCTCCCAAAGTGTTGGGATTATGGGCGTGAGTCACCGTGCCCAGCCCTTATTAAGTCTTTAAGTGGGAAGCTTTTCTTTTCACTTTTTTTTGTTTGTTTGTTTTTTGTTTTTTTTGAGACGGAGTCTCGCTCTGTCACCCAGGCTGGAGTGCAGTGGCCGGATCTCAGCTCACTGCAAGCTCCGCCTCCCGGGTTCATGCCATTCTCCTGCCTCAGCCTCCTGAGTAGCTGGGACTACAGGCGCCCGCCACCTCGCCCGGCTAGTTTTTTTGTAGTTTTAGTAGAGACGGGGTTTCACCGTGTTAGCCAGGATGGTCTCGATCTTCTGACCTCGTGATCCGCCCGTCTCGGCCTCCCAAAGTGCTGGGATTACAGGCTTGAGCCACCGCGCCCGGCCTTCACTTTTATTTTATTTTATTGAAGCATTATAACTGATCATTGAAGAAGATAGTGTTATCATTCCATTCTGACAAAACCAATTAACTTATCCAAGCACGTGCATGCTGTACACAGAAGAGCCAAGGTTAAAAAGTCCCTATTTTTACTTATTTTTTTTAGATTCAGCAGATACATGTACAGGTTTCTTATATGAGTATATTGTGTAATGCTGAAGCTTGCACTTTTAATGATCCAGTCGCCCAACTAGTGAGCATAGTACCAAATACATAGTTTTTCAAGTCTTGCCCCCCTCCTTCCCTCCTCCTTTTTGGAGTCCCCAGTGACTGTTGTTCCCTTCTTTGTGTTCATGTGTACCCAATGTTTAGCTCCCACTTATAAATGAGAACATGTGGTATTTGATTTTCTGTTTCTGTGTTAATTTGCTTAGGATATTGGCCTCCACCTCCATCCATGTGGTTGCAAAAATCTTGTGCCTTTTAATGGTTGTATAGTATTCCATGATGTATAGGTACCACATTTTCCTAATCCAATGCACTACTGTTGGGCACCTGGGTAGATTCCATGTCTTTGCTATTATGAAGTGCTCCAATGAACATATAAGTGCATGTGTCTTTTTGGTAGAATTATTTATTTTCCTTTGGCTATATACCCAGGAATGGGATTACTGGGCTGAATGGTAATTCTATTTGTAGTTCTTCGAAAAATCTCCAAACTGCTTTCCACAGTGGCTGAAGTAATTTACACTCCCACCAACAGTGTGTAAACCTTCTTCTTTGCTCCACAATCTCACCAGCATCTGTTAATTTCTGACTTTTTAGTAATAGCCATTCTGACTGGTGTGAGATGGTATCTCATTGTGAAATTCCCTATATTTTTATGATTCTCAGGCAGTATCATGGGTCTGTATACTGACCCATGCCCTGGGCATGACTTCCACATTGCAGAATTGACAAGTTGACCCAGAAATGCATTTCGGGCTGAGCGGACAATTATCAGAGGAGCTGGCTAGACCACAGCTATGGTCAGATGTGTCATAGGGACCATGGCCTTTCTGTAGGCTCATGGTCAGAGGTGGAGAGGAGATGTGAACCTTCTTGTGAAAAAAGTCAAAGTGAAAGCTGCCCCGTGGTGATGGGTGCTGGGCCTCACCCACCAGATCCTGTGCATCTCCTGGCCTGCTGGGCTCAGTCTCCACCCCGCTGCTTGGCACTCGCCTGGCAGAATCTGAGTGACGCCTTCTACACTCCCTGCCCTGCTCTGCCACTGGCTGTGTCTGAGTCAGAGGATCAGTACTCAGCAGCAGACTCTCCCAAAACCCATCATCTGGGCTGAACCCAGTTTCATGATTCCAAAGGCAAAGCTGGTGACCATCTGTCACCGGGGAAATTCTGGGGCTGTTGAATACCAGCTGTACTTTGAAGGAAGCTTTTCTGCCATGGAGAGACCAAAACCCCCTGAACGGATTAACAAAGTTGAATTCCACATCCTGGTCATGACCTCCCGCACGGCAGGGCTATACAGCTGCTTCTGTCTGACTGGGAGCTCTGGTCAGGGGCCAGTGACTCTCTGGATCTGGTGGTAACAGGAGGGAAGATCCAGTCGCGCACAGCGCAGATATGGGAATCTCCAGGTGGAGTTCCCCGTGGGCCCTGTGACCACAGCCCACAGAGGGACATACCGATGTTTTGGTTCTTATAACAACCATATGTGGTCTTTCCCCAGTGAACCAGTGAAGCTCCTGGTCACAGGGGACATTGAGAACACCAGTTTTGCACATGCAGACCCCACCTCTTCTGGCTCTTAGGACACCTACCTTTTAATCACAGAGACGGGACTCCAGAAAGACTGTGCCCTCTGAGACCACACTGCCCAGAATCTCCTTCAGATGGGCCTAGCTTTCCTTGTCCTGGTGACTCTGGTGTGATCCTGGTTGAAGACTGGCTCAGCAGGAAGAGGACCACAGGGCGAGCCAACGGAGCTTCCACTTGGGAATACAGGAGAAGGTTGAGAACACAAAGACCCCTTGAAGAATGACCAAGAAACGCAGTGGCCATGGGTGGAACTGAAAGCTGATCTTGAGCCTCGGCGGTGGGAGCTCTGTGTTGGACCCAGGGAGAAGGGAGTCATTGCAGGAAAAAGGAACAATGGCATTCCACTTGTCAAAGCATCCTGGAGAAGAAAGGAGGTCGGAGAAACAAGCTAAATTTCTTTGGGAGGCAAAAAACAAGAAAAAAAAGTTGTTTTCAAAACTCAACTTAAGTATCCCTTCTTCGGAGAAGAAAGGTCCTTTTCTCCTATATATATATTTTATATATATATATTTTTCATGTATATATACATAAATATAAATTATGTATAAATAAATATATGTTTATTTATGTACATATACATAAATAAAAGCATGGTCCTTACCAAGCACAATCATCTACTGACCCACCTGTATCTTTCATTAGGATTATGAGGGCAGGGATTTGGTCTTTTACCTCTGTGACTGTGGCATCTATGAATTGTGTGGCGTGTAACAGATTTCTAACAAATATTTGCTTTTTGGAGGAAAAGGGAGTTGTTGCTGTTTTTAAACTTTGGACCAGGACAGGGGGTCTTTATTATTCAGAACCTAAGAATTAAAAAACCCATAATTTATCAAAACAAACTTTTTTGAAGAAATACTAGAGTAAAACTTGTGTGTGTGTGTGTGAGTGAAATATGCAGAGTTAGTATCGTTATAAACAAAGTCCAGGACTCAACGAAAGGAATAAAGTAAGAACAGAGTCGAAACATGAGGCATGTTGTAATTATTCCCTAAACTACAGTAACATGATATTAATATTTTCCTCAAAATAAACTCAGAATTTAACATAGTGTTCTTCCAGACGAGTGTGAAGGCAGGCAGGTGTTTTCCCAGTGCTGTTCTCCTTGGGAGCTGTCAGCTTCAGTGCAGTATTTCACAGCTAGACTGTAAACAAACGTTAATTCCAATTGGCTCAATATACATTCAACAGTAAAATACCAGAAGTGAGTGGTCTCTGTTGTTCTCCAAAATGTATGATCTTGAACAGACTTTTATCGTGAAAATGTTCATAGTTTGCACGTATCACTCCCAGCTGGAAGTTGTTGTCCAGTTTAACAGTTACATAATATAATCTTTTATGTGAGAATTTTGAATAGCACAACAGAGACAAGAAAACAGACTAACTTCTTGGTATTACCACATCTTGGCGACAAGTGAGAGTCCTGTTTAAAATGTAAAGGAAATCTTATTTGGTGAATCCTGTAATAGGTGGGGGCTGAGAGGGAAATCTAGGTTGCTGGATTTGTCACTAGGGTGTCCTCTACTAATAACCAGAGAGTTCCAGTTAGTGTCACCTCCCAGTATGAAAATAAATTTTCTTTCAGGCTTCGTTTGTGCAATTACACGTGTGTGGAGTGGCAGGCGGCGCCTTTTTTTAGGTCCTGATGACCTGGAGGGTGACTCGTAATCACCCTGAAACGTATGAGGACCCTAAGGAAACCTCCCCTGGGGGAGAGAAAGGGCCGGGCGGCACCCAACACTGCCCCGGGCCCCCCACCCCTGTTCTGAGCCCAGGCACTCCGCTCTGAGCAGCGCGCCCCCAGCACCCTGACCACCTCCGCAGGACCCCGCGCTCTACCCCCAGGCCCCGCGCCCCCTCGCCCTGGGCCGCGCCCCACATCCCTCCCCGAGCCGCAACACCCCACCGGACCGGACTCCCTCGAGCCGCCGCTCGTTGCGGGCCTGAAGCGCAGCGCACCTACTGGCCAGAGCTGCCGAGGGCGGGAAAAGTGGCCAACGGCTGCGCAGGCCGTCGGGCTGCTGAGGAGATGGCGTCGATGGCGTCGGCCTCCAGGGCCTCCGTGCCCGCGGACTCATTCCGCACCATCAGCCCGGGCAGGCGAGGCGAGAAGGCTGCCTCCGCTGTCCCCGGGGACACGGCGGCCGCGACCACCCTGAAGGGCACCGCGATCCCAGTGCGGTCGGTGGTGGCCTCCCTTCGCCAGGTGAAGGGGAAAGCGGGCCGGGAGGCGGCCAGGATGCGGCTCCAGCGCCTGCCCGCGGCTCAGGCCGAGGACCCAGGAGAGGCGGCCGAGGAGGAGGAGGAGGAGGAGCCCCTGCCGTCAGTGCCTGAGGATGAAGAGGAGGCGCAGCCCCTGCCCCCAGTCTGCGTGTCCCGTATGAGGGGGATGTGGCGGGACGAGAAGGTGTCGCTGTATTGCGACCAAGTGCTGCAGGACTGTAAGGTGAGCGGATCCAGGACAGGAAGACGACGGTCAGAAGCTCCCCGGGGCCTGGGGACAGGCATCTGGGGCTTCCCTCGGAGGTGGATGGGGGTCCACAGGGCACAGCGAAAACCTGCGTTTCAAAAAATTAAATGGAGTCCACCTGTGTAGAGCGTTCACCTTGTTAGAGGTGCCCGCGTCGTGCCCTAGAGGAGTTAAGGTTCGAGTTTCCGACAAAATTCGTCAGTTAACGGGACAGCCCTGAGAGAATTTTCTGAGAGCTCCTAAAAAATGAAGCTATATTGGCCTTATCATTGCACGGGCATGAATCTTAGTACCTTTATTTAACAGTTTATGCCCAAACATGAGCAAGATCCCTTAGCCTTGACTTTTACACTAGAATGCTAGAAATTAAGAGTACTTCCCACGCAGCAGTCCACGAGGCGGCATGATATATATATATATGTATGTGTGTGTGTATATATAGTGTGTATATATGTGTATATATATGTGTGTGTATATATTTATTATTATTATTATTATTATTATTATTATTATTATTTGAGACGGAGTTTCATTCTTGTTGCCCAGGTTGGAGTGCAGTGGCGCAATCTCGGCTCACCGCAACCTCTGCCTCCCGGGTGCAAGCGATTCTCCTGCCTCAGCCTCCCGAGTAGCTGGGATTACAGGCACGCGCCACCACGCCCAGCTAATTTTGTAATTTTTTTTAAGTACAGACGGGGTTTCTCCAGTTGGTCAGGCTGGACTCGAACTCCCGACCCCAGGTGATCTGCCCACCTCGGCCTCCCAAAGTGTTGGGATTACAGGCGTGAGCCACCGTGCCTGGTGGCATGATTTTTTTAATATAGAAAATACGTATCTGATAAAACGGAATAGAGCAAATATTTCATGTTTCTAACCTAGTTTTTTAAGTTGTAGCAGAAGAATTTGTGTACCTGCATATTCATTGCGGTAATATTTATAAAAAGTTGAAAATTAAGGCATAAACAATAACTAGCTGTCTTATCTATTAATTATTCCAGTGAATAGATCTCTTTTAAGTTTAATTTTTTGTTGGTCATGTTTTCCACTAGATGTGGTTTCAGTTAAAATCTGTAACTTTCCAGGTCGTTCATTATTTAGGGCTATATTGGTTCCATTTGAAAATAGAAATCAATTTAAAAAACAGGTAAAAATCTATAATTTCATATATTTATACATAGATACATTTTTTCTCTTATTAGGCAGAAGATGCTGATGAAGTTATGGGTAAATACTTATCAGAAAAATTAAAGTTGAAAGACAAATGGCTTGGAGTCTGGAAGACTAATCCCAACGTATTCTTTGTGAAATATGAAGAAGCTTCTATCCCTTTTGTTGGTATACTGGTTGAGGTAAATAAATTTTATTTGATCTTTGTTCTTTTTGAATCAGTTTTTTCAAAGACTAAAATATGACTTTATTATTTGGAGATTGGTACACAAGAGTTGACACATTTTACTTCTGTTTTAAGTCTGAGAAAATTAATAGTGTAAAAAGAAGGTAAGGGGAATATTAGTGCCTATAAACCGTTATTATTAAATGGACTCTAGTAGTATCAGACAATATTTATTAGCCTAGTTTTTGCTCAAATAATGTAAAAATAACAAAAGTGCATTTCTTATAAAATTAGTAATTTAGTCTTTAACAAACTTGGGACTTCTTTTTCTGTCTTTTTCCTTTAATCTTCATTTATCTGAATTATGAAGTTTACTTCAGATGAGGAAAGAAAATGAAATGGATCAGAAAACTATTGGCAAAATTTGAAATTTTTTTCCTTTGAAAAGTACCCTTTTTCGGGAGACGGAGGCAGGAGAATGGTGTGAACCCAGGAGGCGGAGCTTGCAGTGAGCCGAGATTGTGCAGCCTGGGCGACAGAGCGAGACTCCGTCTCAGAAAAAAAAAAAGAAAAGAAAAGTACCCTTTTAATATAATATCTTCCAAGCCTTTATGAGATAAGATTTTTCTTTTCTTTTTTTTTTTTTTTTCTTTTGAAACAGAGTCTCGCCCTGTCTCCCAGGCTGGAGTGCAGTGGTGTGATCTCGGCTCACTGCAACCTCCGCCTCCCAGGTTCAAGCGATTCTCCTGCCCCAGCCAACTGAGTAGCTGGGATTATAGGCACATGCCACCACACCCAGCTAATTTTTTGTATCTTTGGTAGAGACGGGGTTTCACCACGTTGGCCAGGCTGGTCTTGAACTTCTGACCTTGTGATCTTTAGTAGAGAAGGGGTTTCACCATGTTGGCCAGGCTGGTCTCGAACTCCTGACCTCGTGATCTGCCTGACTCAGCCTCCCAAAGTGCTGGGATTACAGGCATGAGGCACTGCGCCCAGCCCTAATAAGATTTTTCTTTGTTAGGCCTGTAGGGTAAACATTGTGGCATGTTTGATTCTGTTAAAGGTCAATTATCCTTATATAGAAATTAATATTTATAATCACAAATGGTACCCTTGCCCCAGATAGATAATTTAAATCTGTACTTTTGGATACAAGAAAAACTTATGTAACTCATTATGTTATACACTACTTGAAAACAATTTTAAAATATTATGTTCTATGGAAAAGTCAGTGTCAGTTTTACAGATAAAGAATGGCATCTGGGTGTGGTGGCTCATGCCTGTAGTCCCAGCACTTTGGGAGGCCAAGGCAGGTGAATCACTTGAGGTCAGGAGTTCGAGACCAGCCTGAGCACCATGGTGAAACCCCCCCCATCTCTACCAAAGAAAACAGGCACACACCTGTGGTCCCAGCTACCCAGGAGGCTGAGGTGGGAGGATCACTTGAGCCTGGGAGGCAGAGGTTGTAGTGAGCCTGGGGGACATAGTGAGACCCCATCTCAAAAAAAAAAAAAAAAAAAAAAAAAAGAATACCATATTTTCAGTCATAGAGATTACAAAGGAATGTAAAAGATTCTTGGGATTAGTTAATTTTTCAATAAGGCTCTATTAGTTAATTTTTCATTAATACTCTGTTTCTTTTCCTTTTCCTTTTTTTTTTTTTTAAGATAAAGTCTCACTCTGTTGCCCAGGCTGGAGTGTAGTGGTGCCATCTCAGCTCACTGCAACCTCTTCCTCTTGGTTCCAAGCAATCTTCCCACCTCAGCCTCCTGAGTAGCTATGACTGCAGGTGTGCACGACTGCACCTGGCTAATTTTTGTATTTTTAGTAAAAACGAGATTTCACTATGTTGGCCAGGCTGGTCTTGAACTCCTGACCTCAAGTGATCCACCCACCTCAGTCTCCCAAAGTGCTGGGATTACAGGCATAGCCACCATGCCCAGCCAGTAGTACTCTGTTTTTTAGAGGTTTGCTCATCTTCAGACTTTGAGTAGAATTTTACCTAGATCTTTCACAACTTCTCTGGATTTTTTTTCATCTGGATAAAAATGGTTTTCATCTGGCTTTGTGTTTGTTTGTTTGTTTGTTTTAGCAGTATAAGTTTGTGGGGTTTTTTTCAATCAGGTTTTATGTGGAAGCTTAACATTAAAGCAGAACATTTCTGATTGAAATAGATGATGGTGTCTTAGCATCTCTCTCAATACCTCATGATAGCCCCTACACTCCATAAAACTTTTCAAGATCTCTAAAGTTCCATGGAAACTCAGTGGATTAGGTTACCTGTAAGTTCTATCAATTTCTAAGGTTTTACCTGCAATACATTGATTATTTAATCTGTCTCTGCCTTGCTTTAGAATCTGTGAGGGTCTAGTAATATCTTCTAAATGTTAGGAAGACAAGATGAAACATGAGAACAGAGGTAAAAGAAGAGCAGCATATTGGCAGATTCTAATTCTTTTTTTTGTTTGTTTGGTTTTTTGTTTGTTTGTTTTGTTTGTTTGTTTGTTTGTTTTTGTTTTTTTGTTTGTTTGTTTGTTTGTTTTTGAGATGGAGTCTCGCTCTGTCGCCCAGCCTGGAGTGCAGTGGCCGGATCTCGGCTCACTGCAAGCTCCGCCTCCCGGGTTTACGCCATTCTCGCTTTTTCTTTAGATGCTGTATTAGTTTTCTATTGCTGCCACAGCAAATTACCACACTCAGTGGCTCAAACAATACAAATTTATTATCTTACAACTCTGTAGGTCAGAAGTCTGACATGGGCCTAACTGAGCTAAAATCAGCCTTAGAAACATAGTGTTGACTCCTGAACAGTGCAGGACCCTGCACAGTCAAAAATCCGTATATAACTTTTGACTTCCCAAATACTTAACTAATATCCTACTGTTGACTGGAAGCCTTGCTGATATCATACACAGTTGATTCACACATATTTTGTATGTCATAAATATGATAAACACTATATTCTTACAATAAAGTAAGCTAAAGAAAAGAAAATGTTATTAAGAAAATTGTAAAGGCAGGGCACAGGGGTCCGTGCCTGTAGTCCCAGCATTTTGGGAGCCCAAGGCAGGATGATCGCTTGAAGTCAGGACTTTGAGACCAACCTGGGCAACATAGCAAGACCTCATCTCTACTAAAAATTTTAACATGAGCTGGGTGGTGGTGCACACGTATAGTCCTATCTGCATGGGAGGCTGAGGCAAGAGGATCACTTGAGCCCAGAAATTTGAGAGCAAGACCCTGTCTCCTAAAAGAAAAATCATAAGAAAGAGAAAAATGTATTTACTATTCATTATATAGAAATAGATCATCATAAAGATCTTCATTTCTGTTGTCTTCATGCTGAATAGGCTGTGAAGGAGGAAGAGGAAGAAGAGGAGTTGGTCCTGCTGTTGCTAGGGTAGCAGAGGCAGAAGAAAATATGCATATAAGTGGACCAATCCAGTTGGAACATGTGTTGTTCAGGGGTCAACTGTACTTGATTGGAAGGAAATCTAGCATATCCTTAATTTTGGTTATAAAATGGTCCAGAAATTAAGAAAACTTTTTTATAACTTCTGCACAAAGCAGTTTGGCAAAATATATCAAGAACTTTAGCACTTTATTTCTGGAAATTTCTTCTATGAAAATCAGAAACGTGGAAAAACATTGTTTCTTGGCCTTTTGCCTAAGATCCAAGTGTAGAAATGCAGAAAAGGATTTAGGTGTTAAGGTTATCATGGTGATTTTTTTTTTTTTTTTTTTTTTTTTGAGTCTGAGTCTTGCTGTGTCACAGTGGCACGATCTCGGCTCAATGCAGTCTCCAACTCCCGGGTTCAAGTGATTCTCCTGCCTCAGCCTCCCAAGTAGCTGGGATTATAGGCGTGAGCCACCACACCTGGCTAATTTTTGTATTTTTAGTAGAGATGAGGTTTCACCATGTTGGCCAGGCTGGTCTCAAACTCTCGACCTCACGTGATCCACCCGCCTCAGCCTCCCAAAGTGTTGAAATTACAGGCGTGAGCCACCGTGCCCAGCCACCTGGGCTTTTCTTTGCATCATATATTCTAGATGGGGTACTAGAAGAGCTAACAACCTGGAAACATCAACATGTGTAAAACAGCAACAACAGAAAGCAGAATGAAGACAGGAAAATTATTGTACTTGAAGATAGAAAAATAGAAATTATCAAATCTTAACACCATAAAGAAAATAGATTTAAAAGGACAGAACCTCAGGGACATGTTGGACTATAACAAAAGACCTAGCATTCATGTCTTCAGAGTTCCAGAAGGAGAGAAGAAAGAGGGAGGGCTAAAAAATATTCAAAGAATGGCAGAAATTTACCAAATTTGGCAAAAGATATAAACCTACAAATTTAAGAAGCCAACTTGAGAAGCATGGTTAAGGGTGGGAGTACTCCCACTGGGAAGAAGGGAATTGCATTAAAATTTACTGGTACTGAATGTTGGGATCCTCTATCTTCTACCCTCCAACTGTGCTTCTAGAACACAGGCAACTAAGGCATATCCATCCAGGAATAAGATTTGAAATATTTTTGTATGATCATATGTTAAAAAAAAAAAAAAGACTTAGTGATACTGAGTGACCACAGAAAGAGCCTGGGTGGATCAACCAGTGAAGAGGAGATGAGGAGGAGAAGAAAGGAAGAGAGAAGAGAGATGGGGCAAGAGGTCGGTGGCAAGAACAGAAGAAAGCAAATTGTCAAATTGTAAAAGTTTCTCAGAACCAAAGGACATACATTTGTAGACTGAAAGGGCCCACTTAGTGTCCAGCACATAGTGAAGTTTGGGAATACTGGGGCCAAAGAGAAGGTTCAGTAAGATTCTGGAGAGAAAAAAGATAGATTTGTATAAAGAATCAGGAGGTAGAATGGTATCAGACATTCAGACCTTTACTTTTTTGTTTTGTTTTGTTTTTGAGAAGGAGTCTCACTCTGTCTCCCAGGCTGGAGTGCAGTGGCACGATCTCTGCTCACTGCAAGCTCCGCCTCCTGGGTTCACGCCATTCTCCTGCCTC